GGTACACAGAATTCTCTCTCAAAAAAGATTCTTCTTTCCTGTCATGGTTGTATTTTCTTGTACAATAAGACCTAATAGTCACGACACTAGAGAGTATTTACAATAAACAGCTTTGGCAGTTACCAAACACCTCACCTCTGCTTTTGCCTCTAATCTCAAGCCATTTATGGCTTCATATTCTCCAATGCCATTAACATTATGGTACACAGAATTCTCTCTCAAAAAAGATTCTTCTTTCCTGTCATGGTTGTATTTTCTTGTACAATAAGACCTAATAGTCACGACACTAGAGAGTATTTACAATAAACAGCTTTGGCAGTTACCAAACACCTCACCTCTGCTTTTGCCTCTAATCTCAAGCCATTTATGGCTTCATATTCTCCAATGCCATTAACATTATCCCTTGTAACTGAGACAGAGATCAAATGATTTTCAAGGCAGGTTTTGACCATTCAGTCTGCTTCAGTGACCTGCTGAGTGAACAGCCATGTTCTCTATAAATGGAAGCGAGCAAAACGGCATCCAGTTTTCTCATTGGCCAAGCCTTTTCTCTTCTGCTTGTCCCTTGCCAGCCAGTGCTAACCTGTCCTAGACATCCATAAAGCTCCAAATGCCGTGACAGTGCCCTTTGGCAAGTTTCATGGCTATTGTGTTCTGTTCTCTTCTCTGTTGCGTTACTTGAGACCAGATGAAATTTGTCTATGATCTCTGTGACCTTTCAAAATACTGAGATGAGTTCTTTAAATCTTTGCATCTCATGGCAGATCTTCATGGCCTAGAAATGGACTTGTCAAGTCCTGAGAGTGTATCTTGTGTCATGTTTGTGAAATGCTTCCTGTTATAGAGATAGCTCAAAGGACTTGTACATATTTACAATAAACTTTATATTCTTAACAAAAGGGAATTTAATTGGTTTCTACTTGTTTATTGTAAACTTCATTTTTCAACACTAGCTTTTTGTTTTAATGTTTTTTGTGGACAGCCATCTTCAGACATTGGAGGGACCTCAGATCAGTCCTTCCAAATCCCATGAAGAAACATTTGGATTACAATTTAATGTCATATTTATGCTATCGAAAGCTTGTTACCTAAAATCTTAAAGTACAGGATTTTTGTTCATTACCTTTTTATTATTGACAAGGGAGGAAACCAGACATACAGTTCAAACTCTACCTGGAAAACATTGCACTTAAAATAGTTTGTTGTTGAACAATAACCAAATAAAACAATTGACTAGCATGGTGAGGTGATCTTTTCCTTCCATGCAGGGTACCACTAAGCATTACACCAGATCAGCCAGTCTTGGGAGCTATAATTTATAGGAGTGCAAGCATACCAAAGAGCTCACCTTCAGAATATTCTGCCTTTTAGCAGACCTCTTCCCCTGACCAAGTAGCATATGTGCTATCAGAAAGTTAAAGCATGTTAAAGTGTGTAGAATACAACTCTGACTTCCAAATGCTTCGAGGAATCCAACCTGTTGACAGGGACTTAATTATGACAATGCCAGTAGGGCTGGCTATGGTCTGAAACTATTGCCCCTAGGGCACATTTTAGAGCATGCTGTTGCTTTATGAAAGGTCAACTCTGAAAAATATGTGTCACCAAAAAAAGTGCTTGGCTTCAGTATATAGATATAAAATCCAGTTCTATTACAGACTACAGGAGTCTAACTCTCCTTCTTAGCAGGTGCTAATGGTCATAATCATTGAGCTTGTAGTGCACCATGTTCCACTATGAGCACTGTCTGAGGGAATTTGATTGTGAAGGTGTATGATGGTGCTTTGACAGACGTATAGTGTGTTGAGATACTGGCACTTAGCCTTTAGTACAAGGAGATTCCACCCTAATTTTAGAGCAGCTGCAGCAGAGAGTAATTCCACTTTAGCCCAGGAAAGTGGAGACAAGATGTGTAAGAAAGTGATGATATAGCCCGTTGGGGCTCCCGGAGGGGCTCTTCACCTTCCAGGTCCATGGGCAACCACGCTGCTTAAGTTCACAGAGCCCCCTTTAGTCCTGGGCTGGTGATCAGGCCAGTTCAATGGGTAATAAGACAGTTTGGGTAGTCAGAAGCCTACGTCCTGGTTCAGGGTGGGCAAGTCCACATCCCAGCCCTGGGTCACCTCCCCCCAACCCCCGCAAAACTGCAGAGCCAAGAGCCAATTCCCTGCTCCTCACTCCCCTTGGGTCTAGCCCCGGTTTCCAGCACCTTCCTACTCTGAGCTCCGCACCTCCCGCCCCGCTCCTCCGCAGCCCAGCCCAGCTCCTCTTCACTCTGCAACCCAGCTGAGCTCCGTTTCCCTGCACCTCCCCCAAACTGCGTAGACATGCTGAGCCCAGCGCTGATTCTCTGCCCCTCCCTCTGTCCCTCCCCTTGAGTCCAGCACCGGGTTCCCAGCACCTCCCTCCTCCTGCAGCCCAGGTGAGCACAGCACCCTGCACCTCCCCCCCGCAGCCCAGCCCGGCACCCCCCCTACCCCGTGGTACCTGGGGACAACTGCTCCCCTGCATCCCGTCCCTACGCCTCTGATGGGGGGAGCCCAGAACTGGAGGGAAGGGATCCTTTTAAAACACAGTGGGTTTCTCCATGTGTCAAAGGAAAGATTTTTTGAAACTGGATTGGTGGGAAAGAGAGGATGGGTATGGCAGACATCTGCAGCTGGGCTTTTAGCGGGTGCAGTGTCCCTTGGGGATGGTAGTGTAGGCAAATGAAGGAATGATTCATCGTTACAATAAATGTGTTGGAGCCAGGACTCTTGCATTCAGTTGCTGGTTAATACTGATTTGCTGTGTAATGTTGAGAAAGTCACTTCCTTGCTATGTGCCTCAATTTCCTTTCCTGGAAGATGGGGATAATACTTCCACATAAATTTATTTAATGTTTACAAGCCATTCTAGGGATGCTAGGCAAGTTTCAAATGCTGTTCGGGAGAATCATTTTGCGATACCTGTGCTGATTTTCAAAGCTGTGCCTGGCATTAGACCTACCTTCTTGAGGCTATGTCTAGACTGCAGGCTTCTTTCAGAAGCAGCTTTTCTGGAAGAGATCTTCCGAAAAACCTTCTTCTGAAAGAGAGCATCCACACTGCAACAGTGCATCGAAAAAGTGATCTGCTTTTTCGAAAGAGAGCGTCAACATTGAATGGACGTGATCTCACATTTAAGCTGTGATTACTATGGACAGAGTGACCACTAGGGCACCTGTGCTTTTTCCTCTTTCCTTTTCTTTTGAAAGAACTCCCTCTTCCCCATCCACACACACAGCTCTTTCAGAAAAAAGCTTCTTCCTCGTAGAATGAGGAATACCAATGTCAGGAAAAAACCCTGTGTTCTTTCGATTTTCTTTCCGACGAACGTGATTGCAGTGTGGACGTAATTGAAGTTTTTTCAGAAAAACAGACGTTTTTCTGAAAAAACCCTGTAGCATTGACATACCCTGAGGGATTGGCTCTCTTTCCAGCATATTGCACTTGTAACACCAACAGATACCAGTCATCAGTGGGTCGGATTGAACCTCAAACCTCTGAGGCTTAGTACATGCGTCTCTGTTACATGAGCTAAAAGCCACACACCTCTTAACCAAGGTGCTAGGAGACTCATCGATCTCTAGAGGGTCTGGGTGCCATGAGAGGGGGACAGAGTGCCACACTTATCATGAATGGGTTACTCTCTCCGGGTACGTCTACACTACAGCGCTAATTCGAACTAACTTAGTTCGAATTAGTTAATTCGAACTAAGCTAATTCGAACTAACGCGTCTAGAACTAAAAACTAGTTCGAATTAGCGTTTTGCTAATTCGAACTAGCAAGTCCACATCGAGTGGACCCTGAACAGGGCTTAAGGATGGCCGGAAGCAGTGCCGGCAGGGCATGAGAGGAGGACTTAGAGCATGGAGATGCTGTCTCAGGCTAGCCGAGGGCTGCGGCTGTGCAGTCGTCCGGATCCACGCCCTGGATGCTAGCATGGGCAGCTTTGCTGCCCTGAGGTTCCCCAACTGCATGGGCGGTGGGGGAGCCATCAACGGCACACACATCCCCATATTGGCCCTGAACCATCAAGCGGCCCAGTTTGTGAACTGGAAGGGTTACTTCTAGGTAGTCCTGCAGGCCCTGGTGGATCACTGCGGCCACTTCACGAACATTTACATGGGGTGGTCAGGCAGGACACACAATGCCTGCATTTTCAGGAACTCCAGCCTGTGTGCCCAGCTGGAGGCGGGCACCTTTTTCCCCTGCTGGGAGTTGCCAGTTGTATGGGTCAATTGCGGAAGAACTTTGTATGTGCTAGTTTAGGGGTGGTGACGCCTACATTCTTTCCCCTTTTCCTTATATCTGATGAGCCAGAAGCAAGTCTTTGGGAACATTTAAGATAAGCATTGTTGCCAGTATACCAAGGACAAGTCTAAGCTAGAACCAGCTCGATAACTGTTTACCCTATTTGTTTATGCGTTGTTGCCCTTTACCCTTAAGGTATTGCTCACAAGACCAAAGAACAATTCTAACAGCTAAGCCCTACATCAGCAAGTAATGAGTAACCCCTGGAAATTTCCAAACAAGGCAAGAGAACTGTATTTAAGGCTGTACCAAAGCACAACAATTTGCACCTCGCCAATGGGCTTGGGTACCGGCGTCTCGGAAGCTGAGACAACCTCTCACATCCCTTCCT